AAAAAAAAAAAAAAAAAAAAAAAAAAAAAAAAAAAAAAAACTGCCAAGTAAAAACATTTCTAACTTGTCACGTTTCTCTAAGACACGAAAATTGTCTATCGTGAAAATTTCTATTCTTTTTATTGAAACATCTCGCGTCTGATTACACGAAACAAACGCGTTTTAAAGGAAGTCCGTGTGAGATAGTTCAGGATAGTGCAAAGTGCAAGAGTTTCACGCCACGCGTGGAAATTCGTTGTTTCAGAAACCGATCGAGAACTACGAAGACGTCGATCTGTCGTTCTCCTATCGAAAGGCGGACTGCACCGGTCTCAGGTACGCATTCTCTCGCCCTTAGTGAGAATTCGTCAAACGAACGATCTCTTTCTCTCTCTCGTAGGCACATGGGAGCGTTCGCCATTCTGCGGAAGAACATGCGAGAGGCGAACGAGCTGTGCGAGGAACAACTGTTCAGCCCGCCCATCGAGCAACTAATCTCGTAATACGAAATATACTCTCATTCTCTCTCATTCTCGTTGGGACAGCGTTTTAGCAGCGTGCGACCGATGGAGTAAAAACAAGTTCGTTTCGTAAACTCGTTAAACAGTGGGAACAGCCGAAGGAAAAGCGCGCCCGGCGCAATTTTCTTCGGTGAGCCGTAGAAAATTACCGGCATCGCGTCGCGGCCGTTGCTTGCCGTGGCCATTTACTCTTACACGGGGAGGGGAAAACGACAACCGGCCAGAGAAATTACAGTAATTCCATCGCGTTGCAACTTCATCGGTTGCCAACTAATCTCGAAATCGCGACGCGATTCTTTCTTTCCTTTTCCTTTCATTCTTTTCTCTTTTTCTCCTCTTTTTTCTTTTCTTTTTCTTTTTGTTTTTCTAGAAGGAACAAGAGTTTCGACGCGGTGATTATAGAACAGTTGTGGTACCAGTGCTATTACGCCCTTGTCAAGCATTACAACTCGCCGGTTCTAATTGGATTCCTGAGCGTTGGGAACTTGCCGTACGTCATGGACTCGGTCGGTAAGCGTCGCCGAAAATACGAATCGAAAAAAGAAACACGATCCGTAGCAGTAGAGACAATTCGGTCCGATCTGGCGTTCGGTTCGCGACGTCTTTTTCTACTATTCCACGTGTCCCCGTTCGCTCGGTCGGGATGTCGTTAACCGAGCTGGAAATTGACATAAATTGTCGATAAAGTAGAAAGTGCGAGAGGAACAGGAGTTTTTTACTTCGTAAAAAAGAACGAGTCGCGCGAACGGTAGTGCTTTAATCTGCACTTTAATCCGGTTTTCCTATCAGATGAAAAATAAAGAGACAGAGACACGCTACCTGATCGTGTTCGATTTCTTTCGATGATCTCGCGCGGCAAAAAAAAAAAAAAAAAAAAAAAAGAAAAAGACAAACGAGCGTTCTTTTTTCGCGAATGTTGCCGGATGTATACGTTAATTTTCACGTTCAGGGAACCCAGACGACCCGCTTTTGAACCCGGACATGGCCTACCCTTTCACGAACGAAATGAGCCTGGACGAGCGTATCTGGAACATCCTTTACACAACGTGGACTAGGATATACTACAGGTACTGGCATTTACCTAGGGCTCAAGAGATCGTTAACAAGTGGATGCCTGACGTCTCGATCGAGGACATCGACAGAAACTTTAGCCTAGTGATACTGGGAAACAATCACGTATTCGGATATCCGAAACCACTGCTGCCAAACGTAATCGAGGTTCACAGTCTCCAGATCACGGAGAAAAGGGAGACCTTGCCCAAGGTATCGACAAGGAATTCCTCACTAAACTTCCCCATTAAAGTATAAAACGCGTACGATCGTGCTGGCTGGTAGACGAAGGCTTTCGGGCTGTTCCTTGATTCGAAATCTGATCTAACGGCCAGGCTCGCCGTGGTATTAATTTCGACGATATTAATCGAACGACGGATATCAGCAAGCAACGATATTGCGAAACTTAAATTCACCCAACGATTACAAGTATTATTCCTAGCGGGATGCGCGGCGTTATTTCGCGCAGAAGTACGGGTAGAACGGTATACCGCGAGCCAGGGAGAATGATTTCTCCGGGGGAAAATACGTAGCACTGTGTGGCAGGTAACCGGTATAGGGGAAAGTTTACCTACGGCTCGGCAACGCGACGCGAAAGTAAAGGTCATTGCTATTTACCGTCGCTCGTTTTGCCCTACGCGTGCTCGCTCCCTGCCAGGGAAAATATTTCTCGAAAGATACTTTCCAGCCTGCTCGGTATGTGAGTTCCCTCCGACGAGAGAAATCTCTAGATGCCTCGGCTTTCTTTCTTCGTACCGTACGCGATTCTTTCCATTCTCGGCGAATAAGCCTCGCTAGCCGCGCGACGCATCCATGAGAATGACCGTTCATCCACGTTTTTTTTCTAAAATATAGAAAATCGTTCCTCGAAACGCGCAATTGCCGTCACGCGAAACATCGAGATGCAAAACGTGATCGCTCGTCCACGTGCACCGGTGCAATTAATGCCTTCTACTCCGCGTGAGGCCGCGAATGTCGTTACATTGATCTAACATTTACGAATACAGCTCTGCGATAATAGCTGGGTATACGTAGACGAGGACGTTTCATTTTCTTGCTCTTACACCGGAGGAAGATTTAAAATTCAGTCAAAAGGGTCGACTAGTGTTTCCCTGCCTTTCGAAATTTTCAAAGCAACGCTGCTCGCGATACTGTTGAACTGTTTCGCCGTTCGTAATTCCTTCGATAATCGAAGATGAGATTCTGAAAAAGAATTAGCAGAACGATCGAAGTTGATCGGTCAGTTCAGCGGGGGTACATCCCGCCGACAATCGACATCGACGGAATTAAAATTAACTGCTCGACAGGACATTGAAGAATTCCTAGACAAGGCGGAGCACGGGGCGATCTATTTCTCCCTAGGCTCGAATCTGCAAACTCATCAGTTGCCAGTCGGCCCTTTGACCGCATTGTTGAACGCGCTTGGCTCGCTCCGGCAAAGAGTTCTGTGGAAACACACCGGAGACATGGCCATTCATCCAGCCAACATCAAATTTGTGAAGTGGGCACCGCAGAAAGCGATTCTCGGTAAGGCCAACCTCCGAAGGCCCTTCGTTTCCTCTCGGAGGATCCTTTGACCGAGACTTAGATTGACCGCTTCGGGATATGTTCGTTTTATGGCATCGCCTCTGGACGTCGTCGTTTCGCGTGCGCGCACAAGAATCGTGCGCCTATCCGAGCCGATGAGAACGCCCCGGGAAGTATTAACGCGACGGGGAAACAACGAGCGTGATTAATCGCGTCGTAACGAACGGATAATTTATGCCTCGGTCAAATTATTCCGGCTCTGATAAACCGATGAACAGAACGAGTTGTACTCGCTGGCTATTGCTATATAGTACTCTCTTTGATTCCCTCGCGCACACGAGACGCGAGACTTCTCTTTCGAGATCATTAGAGATTTTTTTTTTCCTTTATCTTTCTGTTCTCTCTTGCGCTTCTTCTTTTTCCTAACGCGTGATAAGAAACTTCTTACGTAATTGTCTACGGCGCTCGTAAGTACGTGTTTGTTCGTTAATTATCGTATTTTGCGTTTGATTTACATACACTACTCGTCGCCGACGGTCTGTTCGTTAAACAGGATTCAACTACGGCGAGCTGAGGCTCGGCGCAGATACTTAATGAAGTTGCTGCCGACTTTGCAGGTCCTTTCATTTGGAAGGGATGTTAATTTCCTCTGGTAACCAAGTGCTCTGTAACGACCTCGTCCATGCTCGTTTCTTTTTTTTTTTTTTTTTTTTTCTTTTAAATGATCGGACTCGCGCGCGATACAATTCCATCCGCATACCTTCTTCCCCTATCTTTCACACGATGTCAAGTTCAACTCGATCGATACGATTCTCCAATCGAAAGTCAAACACGCACGAACCTATAAATTACGAATAAACGACGAAAATTCGTACGTTTGGAAATTAATTCGAAGTAGGGAGAAGTATATTCGCGAATTCGTTGTTACGAAACGTTAATTGCCATTTTGTATTTTGTAAGCCCAGAGGGCACGATCGCGGAAAGATAAACGAGGATGTTCTATTGATTCGAGGGGAAGAGGACGATTCAGAGGATTCATAGCGAAGCGAAAAGATAATTCATGACACGGCGGAAAATTCTCCCGGGAAATTTTGACAAACAACTCCGCATCGTTGGCGGTAACGCCCGGACCCGATGCAAATGCAAGCAAGCGCAAACTTTCGTATACATTGATAGACAGGTTACGTTCGCCATCCCTCCCCCTAAATCCCACCTTGCTGTGTGTAGAAAGCGTATTAAGGGTAGGAATGCGAAATGTAACTGGTGCGCGCCATGCAAATAATGAGAATTTCAATTCAATTGCCTATTACGGTTCACCTAGTTCCAAAATCCAACACGTCGGATTTCAATGTAACTTTCCTGTAATACGTTTCCATCTTTTAATCGTCAACGACGTTTAATTAACCGTCGTGGTGACCATAATGATCGAACCACCGTGATAAAAAAAAAAAAAAAAAACAGTTCTTCAAGCACGCGTTGATATCCTGTCCTGACACTCGACAGGAGTTCTCCTTGTTTCTCGAATTTCAAATTCTCCGAGCTTTCGCATTTCCACGGTCTTAAATTTAATAAATCTCGCCATCGAAATTTTAAAACCGATTTCTTTATTTTACACTGTTCTACTAGTACATGCCAGTTGTTAAAACGTTATTCTTCGCTGCGTAAAATACGCGATTATCCGAAAAATTCGGCATATTCTTTTGTTTCTAAAACAAATAGTTCTCTCTGCTCTCTCGGGTAGGATCTCAAAACTTGAAAATAAATATCCGTAAGAGCGTTGCTTTATTTCCGCTCGATTCGGGATATATACGAACGTTACTTCTCTATATACAGCACACCCGAAAGTGATGGTCTACGTGATGCAAGGTGGATTGCAGTCGTTGCAAGAGGCGGTGCACTATTCTGTGCCGGTAGTGGCCATTCCCTTTTTCGGAGATCAACTTTTCAACGCGCGTAAAATTCGGGATGCTGGTATCGGACTCGCACTGAACATCGATACCGTCACCGAAGAATCCATCGTGCGAACCATCACCCAAGTCGTAGAAAATAAAACGTGAGTGTCTCGTTTATCGCAGAACGATTTTTTTCGAACGGGGGGATATTCAAACTCACTTTATAAATTTTTTAACAGAAACTTCGAGCATCGACGAAAATTTATAAAACTGATATATTATATTTACAGATACTATGACAATATTAAAGAGATGTCGGAAATTATAAAGGACGAACTGGTAAAGCCAATGGATCGTGCTATATGGAATGTGGAGCACGTGATCAAATTTTCTAAATCGAAACATTTACGTTACTACGGCCACGATATATCGTTGATAAATTACTATGGAACGATAGCGATCCTTGTCCTACCGTTAATTTTCATAATATACTGCGTTCATTTGCTATTGAATTATTTGAGAAGTAGAAAGGGATACAATTGCATGAAAGATAGAATTAAATTCTATGTAAAATCGAAATTTGAATAGTTACGATATATTTTGATAGAAGGAGATAATTGTAAATTCTCTACTATTAAATTTGATTTAATTATGATTAGCTACGACTAAATTTTGAAGTTAGTCATTAATTAGTTTAATATAATTGTTGCATATTATTGTCTGTTGGTGAAAGATTTGAAGAAATTTTTAAGATACCATCGATCACCAAGTACGAAAGCAGAATTATCATCTAACGAAAAGTTTAAACTGTTATTATCGACTGTTGAATAAGTGGAACCATCTGTTAGTCAATGATGGAACCAGTTGCTGGGAATCTGACGTCACAGCAAGACAAGCTAGAGTTGAAAATTTGAATATTTCCTAACCGTTAACGTCCCCTCTTGGGGTTTAAATTAATATATATACAATATACATTATATATAACAATAACATTATATATCCGTATTGATTCAATACTAAATAAATATATATCACGTATATGTCAATCACTCGACAAAATAAGAAAACTAATACATAAATACTTCTACTTTCATTAAAATAAATTAAACATTACCGTATCTCCATGAAAATATGTCAGACTATCGTTAACCATCGTGGCCTTCCCCTAATATTTCAAGGATTCTTCCACAATCTGTACAAAAGGAAAAAACAAAAGTTTCAAATAAATGTATAAAAGAAAGAAATTATATGAAAATAATCGAAGCAAAATGTCGTTTTATAGTATGACCTGTTCATATATTGTTAAAAAGACAATTAAAAAAAGAAAGATAATTTATATATGTTCAATTATAACATTGAGTAAAAACGTACGTTAAGTTAAATACAGGTAAAACGATGAAAATGATGAAACGATGATATTACACGTTTAATAAATGTTACGCGGAAAGATAACATCTTTACATTCCGATTTTCCGTAATGAACTATCCTTCTGCGCAACAGATTCGCGTCGCCAAATAATTTGGCAGGGTGGGGGTTCAAGCGTGCACGAATAGAATTCAATTAATTTCTTATGCCCTCTATGTATGCCTGCACGCGCTAAATTTTGAAATTTCATTTAGCCCTGTAATGAGACATTACTGTTATGATTTTATTAATAATGTTTAAAACAAATCTGAAATACGATTTTTTCTCGCAATTATTTTTATTTTTCTGACCATTAAATTATCATGAATGAAAGTAAAAAGAAATCTAATAGTTTTAAAAGTAAATCGAACGTTTATACTGCCCTTAAATTTATATCAAAAGGGCCTATCTACAAATTTTGCTTAAATCAAGCTATTAATGCCAAGTAAAAAAAATAGTTTATTTATGTAAATATATTATTATAAGGAAATCTTAATTACATTGAAATTGAAGATACAATAGTTTATGTTTCAGATATATATGAAATCAATGCCTAAGCGTTAAATACGCTATTTTTGATCAAATACGCTTACTTGAATTAATATGGCAGTGAATGCATTAAAATTGAAAAAACATTCAAATATAATATGTATGTAGTAACTTTCGCGTAAAATCATAGATAAGATATAGAATAGATATACTTCATATACCTCGTCTGTGTCATTGGATTTTTAGCGCACTCTATATTTAAAGAACAGTATATATCTCGTCTGTGACGACGCGCAAAGCATCGATGTAAGATAACTTCGTTCAAGAATATCGGTAAAATAGAAAGAGACAGTGCGATAGTAATAAATTCATTGCGGGGCACTCTGTAACGAAGATAGAAATACTGATTTCAGGTAGTAACAACTTAAAGCTGTCAGAGAAGTTTTGGCATTCCGTTAATTGTGAATAAGGCAACGATAATACAGTTTGTGATGTATCTATAAAACCAGTGGACGTAATTGTGATTACAACAGTATTGCTACAAAAACAAAAGTATTTGCTAAATATTAATATGTCTTCCCTCCAAAAGTCAATTTTGAAATCGAAACGACCACCGTCGGATGTCAATTTTGGAATTGGCTCTAGGTTAGTTTATTATGACTGCTAAAAATTGAAAATGTTAACTGAAATCTTAATTGATATTCTTATAAAAGCAATTCAGTAATGTTCTAATACGAATTTAATGGAAAATATTGAAGTTTACCGTTACTAAATATTTTAATTTTTAATAATCACCAGGGTTAGTAAGGCAAAAGATAAGAGAGATTACGAACCAGTTCAATGGATTCCGTATTTTGATCATTCCCAGGATGTGAAAATAGGAAATGACACATTTCATATTTATATTAAGGGTACAGAGGGTCCGACATTAGTATTGTTACATGGAGGTGGTTATAGTGCATTGACGTGGGCAGAATTTACTGTAGGTATTAATTATTAATTATATAAAATACAAAACAATTCCTATATTATATATGTTTCAGAAATCACTTATGACTATGGTAGTATGTAAAGTTATGGCAATTGACCTTAGAGGTCATGGAGATACCCAAACATCAAATGAAGAAGATTTATCTGCTGATACCTTGGCAGAGTGAGTATGACTTTTAAACAGTTATATATATAATATATAGTTGAGTTGTATATGTATATCACATTTTGATTGATTTATCTATTCCTTAGAGATGTTGCAGCAATAGTGAATGCAACAACAGAAAATAATCCTGTAATCCTAGTGGGTCATAGTATGGGTGGTGCAGTGGCTGTTAGAGCTGCACCATTAATCTCAAATTTATGTGGATTAGGAGTTATTGACGTTGTTGAAGGAACAGCTATGGATGCATTAGCATCTATGCAAAGCTTTCTAAGATCTCGACCATCTAGTTTTAGTTCTATCTCTCAAGCCATAGAGTGGTGGTTAGTATTTTTTAAACTAAAGAATATGAAATAATTACATTATTATATGTCTTTCGTATACTTTTGATTAGTAAATAAAACTATTCTACGTACATTTTTTCAGAAGAAACACATGCACATTTTTGACTGATTTCATACAAACTAATGTTACTTACTTTAACGTATCATATATTTATATTGTATAATCAAAAACGAGATTGTAGAAGAATGTCTCTAATTATTCATATTTTAGTGTACGAAGTGGCCAAATCCGTAACGTACAATCAGCCAAGGTGTCAGTTCCTGGACAAATAAAAAAGTTAGTACCTGAATGCACATATTCGTATATTATACATGCCTTTTTTAAATTGATTTTTCATGTTACACTTCGTATTGCTGTAGCATTGAAACTAATAAATTAGCCACTCACGATATCGGTTCGTTATCACAATCGACGTGCGAATGTAATTCAGGGATTACGATCCCACGAGAAGATATTATTCAAGAAGAAGAACCAGTAAATATGCCACCACCACCTGCCAGTAGTATCACTGCTACTAGAAAATATGTTTGGAGGATAGACCTATCCCGAACTGAACAACATTGGTTTGGATGGTTTAAGGATCTATCAACTGCATTCTTAAATGTACCAGTTCCAAAGGTGCTGTTGCTAGCTGGTGTTGATAGATTAGACAGACAACTCACTGTTGGTCAAATGCAAGGTATAATGTTGATATTAAACTTTTTTTGAATATTTATAAATATATTAAAACTATATCTTGATTTATTAGGTAAATTTCAAATGCAAGTATTACCAGCATGTGGACATGCGGTACATGAAGATGTTCCAGATAAAGTAGCAGAAGCAATTGCCACTTTTATGGTTAGACATAAATTTGCCGGATCTGCATCAGATTTTCCACGGTAATTTAATTTATAAACAGTTAGGAAGACATAATATGGAAGACATAATATAGGAAGACATATTATAATACATATGATATATTGTTTTTTTAATCAATTTCAGAACGTTTCCTGCTTGTTAGGAGTATACAAAATAGCAATCTTGTCAAGATTATAAAAAATTCAATGAATTAGTTAAAATGAGCATTTTATTTATTTAAAAAAGATATATATTCACAAAATATATGAGTACATGTATAAATAAAAACATTTTCTCGACAAGAAAAATAAATTTGTTTCAAATAAAAGATGTATTTGTTAAAAATAAATCTGAATATGTTTATACAAAAAACGTACGTATAAATATATAAAAATTGATGATAGTACGCGCAACGTATCAAATAGAGTACAAACATTATTTCCGTATCGTATTGAAATACGATTCTTAAATATGTATTTATAGATAAAAATAATTCTAATTTTATAATATAGTAACATTTACAAATTCAGTTTTTATTTAAAATTTTCAACTAAAATACTTCAATTTGCTTTCGAGATTTCGTATTTGAGCGTGTGTAGAATTTTAGCATTAATCAAATCCGAAACCAGTTAAATTTTTTAAAACAACGCATGGAACTCCAGCACGACCAGTACTTAAAGGTGCAACCTTAAAATATATTGTTTAGCAATATAAATATCTGTAAATATCCTTGTATGTATATATATATGTTCGATGTAAATTTACGCTTACTGGTTCCCATTCATTCAGATGTGGATCATACGCTTCGACAAGTGTAAGATATTGTTGACCATCATAACCTCCTACAGCCATAAGTCGATCACCAAGCACACAAACACCAACTGCATCTCTTGGCACACTCATTGGCGCTACCATAGTCCATGTATCTGTTTTAGGATCATATCTAATAATAATAACAGTTATGTATTAATTATTGATACTTCTACTTTTACTGTAATTAATTTAATGTGTATTCTTTAGATACATATACCTTTCAACACAATCAAATCTGCTAGCATTAGGATTGCTAGAAGGTGCATCATGACCACCTAATGCATAAAGACATCCGTTTACCACACCTACGCCCACACCACCTCGTCGTTTTGACATTGGAGCACACGGTATCCATTTATTCGTATGAGGATCATAACATTCTACTGTATTTAAACATGAACTTATATCCCTTCCACCCACAGCATATAATCTGAACAGATACATATAAAGTGTATAACATAATAGTACGATTGATTATATACTAGATCACTTAGAGACTTACTTATCATTCAGTACAGCAACACCAACTGTTGATCTTTGTATAGACATTGCAGAGACTGAACTCCACTGGCGTGTAGCTGGATCCCATCTTTCAACAGTATCAAGGAAACTCCAACCATCATGACCACCCACTGCATACAAAGGTCCACCTAATACAGCAACCCCTAATCCATGCCTATGAATATTCATAGGTGATAGTGTACTACAAGTTAAAGTCGAGAAATCGAAACATTCAACAGTATTTAATGTTTTCAATCCATCTCTTCCACCAGCAACTATTAATTTTCTATCAACAACAGCAGCACCAAATTGAAGTCTTTTACTATTCATCGTAGCAATAGATTTCCAAGCATTATCACGTAAAGAAAATGCATCTATAGAAGTAGCACCTGATAAAAACAATGATAAATTAATTAAATACCTATTTTGCTATTTATTTCCAGTCTGTTTACCTTTATTAGCATCCATTCCTCCAACAGCTAACATATGACCCACTGTGGCTTTCCTGGGTTTTGTACGTCCTGACTGAAGTAATGGTCTACGCTCAGGTAAAAGATGATATTTTAATGCTTCCATAACTAACTCCTGTGCTACTCTTTGATCTTTGAACATTTCATTACTTTCAATATTATCTGCTATAAACTGTATGGATATTATAAAATTTACTTACATCATTGCAGTAATCTATTTATTTCTTTAAACGTAGATACAAATATTTAACTTACTGCAGGAGACAATAAGGGCAATTTCACAAGACTTAATAACTTGCTTGCATCCTTTTTTCTATTTTCTGGATCATATTCCAGCCATGTCATCAGTGCCTAAAATATTAATATCAAAAATAATTAAGAGTAATGCTTGAAAGTTAAATTAAATTTTTTAACATTCTTCTTATATAAAATCTTACATGAAAAATAATTTCTTCTGAAGGAACATTCAGATCTTCAGATTCCAAAAGTTTGGCAACCTCGTTGGCAGACAGTAATAAAAATTCTTGATTTTTTGTAACTTCCATGAAATGTTTAGTCGTATATGCATTAGCATGTTCCAATAAATCTAAGCAACCTTGTGTATCTGCAAACATTCTTATCCCTAAACAATTACTTGGATGAAGTTGTTTTCTGAGAAATTGACAACAAGCTTTAACAACTGGATTTAGTTGCAACAAACACGCTGTTGCTAGAAGAGTTTCTACGCTGTCTTCCCTTAATTCTATGCAACCTATATTAAAAAACATAAAATTAAATTTTTTGATATGCACATTTATGTTCATACAAATTCTCTATTATTTTTTTTTTACAAAAATTATACCTGTATAACAGTAACAAACCAAAGTCCATAATGCGTCTCCATCTACACCCGTTAGTTCAACTTCATTTTGTGTGGATTCTCTCAAAGAACTAGTAAACATGGCAGCAAAATATTCTGAACTTGCACTAAGTACTAAACGATGTGCAGGGAAACGTTTTTTTCCTGAATCAAAAATAACACTGTAGATATATTTCTTTATTATTGAAATAATCACAAATCCTTTGTGTCAATACAGTATCAAATGACTCATTGCTGAAGAACAAACGTTACTTGAAAACAAAGGAAAGCATTACTTACCTGCAATTAATATGACATCTGTCAATTGTTGTTCATGTAAATATTGTTCCATAACTTTGAAACTATTTTCCGCATGTTTTGACACGCGAAAATTTTCATCTTGCGATACAGAAATACTGGATACCATGCTCGAGATACTGTGCTCACTAGCAGATCCTTCTTTGTTTGAGAACAGAAATTCAAATTCGACTTTGTTCGATCCCGTTCCGGTATGGCTCATTCTTGACATTTTTGTGGAAAAAAGTATCAATAATTATTTTTTCGCGAACACCACGTTTAATTTCCTTAAGGCACTTATTTCGCAAAAGTACTTTAACTTTCATGCAGTCGACGCTTTCTCGTGCACTCAAGCTTAACAATAACAGATCGCCACGCTTTACCTTGACAGTTCGAAATGTAAAACTGGATGTAAACAATGAATCGGTTTAGGTACGGTCAGTGACCAGCTCTGTTCGTTTCTTGGGTCAGTGCACTCCACTTACCAGAGTTCTGTGTGAGATGAATTGAAACAAAAAAATCAATAATACCATAAAACTATTCATGGTAAAACGAATGTAATGAAACTATACAGTCATATCTCTCGTGTATAAATGAAATCATATTTGTCCTCTTACAGGATGAAGACAACTTGAAAACGACAGTATCTTTTTCATAAGGAAAGGTATATTAAAAAATATGTTAACAGTTTATAAATTAAACAATTTATTAGCTTTTGAATTTGGTGATATCACTGAAGAAAATGATTCAGATAGTTGTTTTAGGTTATAAACTTTCATTATTTTACCATTATATACAGCAATATTTGAAAGTATACATCGTGTTTTGTATGACTCATTGATAATGTAAATAATTTCACATTATTCATTTCTAGCTAAAATATCATAGGGAAAAATAAAGAAAGATATCAAATGTTCAAAAAATTACAATTTTATTGTATTCCATAGTATGTTATAAATATATCTCATTGATTGTATATATAACATATAACCTATGTTCTTTTATTGTGCTTTTCGTTCATCTTAAATAAAATTTTTAAATTTTTCATAAAAATGTAAATTATATGGAAGTATTGATATATTATGTACAATGTATATTGTACATATAAAATGATAGAATACATAAAATTACACATAATGCATATATATGACGAATTTAAAATTCATATTAACATTCTGTTTAACATTGTTATTTTGTTCAATAATTTTTTTCCATTTACGATCGCTATAAAATTGATTTCTATTCATTTAATCTTTTTAAAATTCGTGTATATATAAAACTGCATCACTTGTTTCACTGACTTTGGTTGGTTATAAATGTGGTTAGGTATGTAAATGCTGTTTGACAAGTGTGTTTACATGTATTACAAAATTGTTCATCAAAAACAATATTTTATAATTATTTCTGGTACATTAATACTTTATGTACATAAATAATGAACGTCATTGTTGTTAATAGTAACATCTTGTTTCTAAATGCTAATTGTATTTAATATTTCATTTTATACTAATAGAGAAAAAAATGAATGATGTTTTTTATTATTAATAATATAATAATAAATTCATCATTAGTTATCCTTCTTGATATACTATATGAATACCTTAATGAAATATCAAAATGGCAACACTATTGCGGTATTTAAAATAACCAAAAATAAAAAATACACAGAAATTTTTTCAAAAAATAACTTACACGATAAAATTGTTATCATAATACCGCGTATCTGCCATGGAGCCATAACATTTATCTAACACATTATTATTCTTTAACGCACTATATACAGATTGCTCCTCCACAAGCTTGTTCCGATTTTGTTGAAAATTCCGTATTTGATCCTGCGAATGACCCGTAAAAGGGCCTTTTCCGACAACAACAAAAGCGATCTAAAAGTTCCGATAAATCACTATTCTCAGAATCATCTCTATAAAGGCCACTAGATGCTTCGTCTGTACATGCCGCAATAAAAGTTTGTAGATCATTTTTCGGGAAGCCATCGCGATAATAAATTTTAATCGTGTCATAAGCGTCCATTATCACAGAAATAAATAAACTTAAAACCACATATATATACAATGAAATAAATGTATATAAATATATTCTAGAGTACCACCATAACATCGGTGACTTAATGGACGTTGCCGAAAATGTGGCAAACATGTCATCTCCGTTAATAAGAGCAAAGAGACATTCGGAAGTTGTAGCGAGTGATCTAAATTTCATGTGGTATGGGCCTAAAATTAACCAGCCACAAAAAGTGAAACCAGCATAAATAAGGATTGCACATATTAAAAATCGTGCTACCTTAGGGGCGGCCTTTTTCAATGTTAAAATAACAACATTATACGTTTTAAAGAAACCAAGGTATCGTAATACACCAAACCACACAAGTAAATTCCCTGTACCAAGAAATATGCTGCACACATTCCAATGATCACTACCAAATTGTTTCCGCTCGATTTGCTCTTTTATACCCGAACCAATAATAATTAAGAGATCATTCACGATAATCATGACATACCACAAATTTAAAAATTCTAATCTTCCATCAAGGCTTAACGGTTTCCCATATGCCTTTTTGAAGAAATTCATAGTTTCAAATTTTAATAATTGTGCTCTGTATATGGCTCTTGAGCATAACATAAGAGATATAGTACAAATTAAAATTACAAGTAAATTTAATAGAGTTCTTAAGGCTGATTCAATACGATTATCTGTTACATAACGTGTATCGCCTTTGCATTGTAATCTCTTTGGTTCGGCATCTAACGAAAGTAACATTTGTCCATCGAAATCACGATTATCAAAATTAATTTTAATATTGAACTGGTAACAATCCGGTGGTGTCATAGGTCCGGCAGCTTTCAAATTAACCGTTTTTAAAGCAAATTTTAAATGAGCTCTAACAAGAGCTGAAAAATTAACATTAATATTTTGTTTAGCCAACACGAGCTTTAATGTATTAAATTCATTATGAACTTGATGAGTAATATTTATGCAAGTTTCTACAATTTCTTTATCAAAAACATAACTTTCATTAAAACCAAATATAATACCTTCCTTATATTGATACAAGCATAAAAGAACTGGACCAACTGAATTATCTTCTCCAGTATACGAATACGATCCAATTGCATTACTAAGATTATAATAGCCATCTAAAGCGTAATCAACTGTACTATAGAAATCATCTCGTTTATAAATTGCTAAAGGCCCTGTTACTGGTGGATAAACTGGCACCTGAAAGTAAAAATGATCAAATGCACGATATAACTAGTTTTTATATTTACTAATATATACTAGTATACCAACACTAGCTACTTATGTGTGAAAAATTTAAAACAATATTTTGAGTAATATGTTACCTCTAAAGAACTATCCCATCCTCTGAGAAAAAGGTGTGAGAAAGCAATTCGATTATCCCAAGTATAATTTACATGTATATAGTTGTTATGTGCAAATAAACATAATTGTATAGTGACCAACAAAATTTTAATGACTTGTACACTAAATTTATATGGAAAACGTCGCTTTGCTTGCCATTTTTCAATAGGGTTCATAAAGAAGAATTTCAATTTTCGACGCATTTTTTCCTCAGTAAACATTGTCATATTACAAATAGGCTGATCTGTTGGAGTTGATAGATGATGACTGTAAAATAAACAATGTTTTTAATATTGTTAGATATTACAGATACTCTACTTTATAATTTATAATGGATTCTATTAATATTAATTGCACATTCAACTTCTGTGTTTCAACATAACTGACTTTTTGAAACTGTGACACCAATCACTTATGACACCAATATTTTTTGTTCAGGTACAAAGAATATGAAAAGACACCAGAGTTTATTAGCATATTCCAAAGATTTAATTATTCATAAAATACATATTTGAAAAGAAATAATTCTCAGGTATTTCATAACTTTTTTTTTATCTAAAGCACTTTTAACGTGGCTTTTTATTTTGTTTGTAACAATGAACATGATTAGAAAACGTAACAATGAATATGATTAGAAAACGTAGCAATGAACGTGATTAGAAAAGAAGATCAAATTTCATTACTGGATCTAGCAAATCTAAAATAATTTTTCAAAAAGACACCTCTAACCTGCTGACAATGAGACATCATGCAATAACTTATCGGGGAGATATGCAACCAAGAGCAATGTCTAGTAAATGGTATATATACCAGTTAACAAAGAAAAAACAAAGAAACAACAAAGAAAGAATTGATCAGTGAAAGAAGTAGTGAACGAAACTTAAATAATGATCACGATGGACGTATTCAGAAATAGTAAGATAAAACCTTACAAACCTTGGACTGATTGTATTTTCATTAAGCAATTCATTCTCGCCAGCGTGATCGTCTTCGCTGTCGGGTCCATTGCTCCAGGAATCATTTTTTAAAATATTACCCTTGGAATCCTCTTTTACATTTCTCTTTCTCCGTTCTGGCATTTTTGCTGTTTTTCTTGTATCGTTTTGCGACACGACAATCAAACTCAAATTTCTGAGCCAAAAGTAATTTATCCCGCGGAATTGTCGTCCCAGTTGCCGACGGACGATGAAAGGACGAGTTGTTCACATACGTTGATCTATGCAGCAACACGAGCAAGATTATTACATGACATGAGCTTGTTTCACGGAATCGTGTTTGACGTAATATAGGGAAAATAACACTTGTAACGTACTGATTTGTAATTCGCAAATGATTGTAATAATTCCACGTTGCTAACAGCGGCCATCGCAGGCCACCCAATTCACGTACCCAGCTTGACTGATCAGCGCGCTACTCCGGCCATTCGTGAAACCAGCTGGTCCGAAAGTGGGGATAAGTAGTAGGGAGGGCGCTAATTGTTCAACGATAAAACGAGTGTTCATCACAAATATTCGACGTCACGCTTTTTTTTTTTAATTTATCCGCGCCAATACGTCGGTTTTATCGGGTACAAAAGCGAAGCTACGTGGAAGAAGAGAAACTGCGTCGATGGAATGTCTTCAAGGTTTGGACGTGTTTATCGATAATTCGTTTTAATTGTATCAGGAGTTGAAATTTATATAACTTAGCCTATCGTGCTCTATCTATCATGCATCTATTCAGAAGCCATCTGACAATGAGAAATCGCGTGCGAGAATTGTATCATGAATATTTGTATATTAATGTGTGCAAATGTAAGAGGAAACCAGCTGTTGGTGCAAATTAGCTACAGTTTGATCGTATCATATTGAATCTAGGTGCGCGAGAGTGGAATGCCGAGCAGACATTTTCCCGCGTTTCCATTTGTTGGTTAATAACAATGGCGGAGCCAAGGAGGAACGATACGATGGCCACAAAGGCTGAGAAAACAAGGATATATCAGGAAGAGAGGAACCACAGGTGATATTCGTCGATATGCAAAGGTGAGTGAATAATAATGCCACTCTCTTTTTATTTTGCGTTATTCGCTCGAGTAGAACAAAATCGACGAATAAAATTTTCGGGTGCCGACAAAGTATTATCCGAAAGCGTGGTCAGCCAATCAAGAACTTAAAGCGATCAATTATCGAGACACACGAGTGGGAAAAGAGGGAAAAGAGGGTATCGGTTGGAAGGATAGCACGCGGACGGTCCGCGTGCAGTGATCGAATGACAAGGGGGTGGTGCGCGCGTTTCACCGTTCGAGGATCGGCGCGCGTTGTAGGCGCACCTTCTGCGCCAGCGTATCAGGCTTCTCGCAATACACACGAGTGGTGCGTCCTGCCGCGCGCGCCAAGTGCCTACGAGAGGAAACGCAGCGACGGAGGCGAGCTAAGCTCGGCTTTCCTCGACCGACCGTAGGCGCAGTCTCTCATCGTCAGTCCTCTCTTCTCGTCGTCCTCAGCTTCGAGAGAGAGCACGTTTTCGGAGTCAGATCTACCTTGTTGGAGTGTGTCCAGCTCGTAACAACCCTTAGCTGCCCTCGGTCGTTGACCCGATACATCGGCCCGTTCTCTCGCTGTTCTTTCTCACGCGATCCTTCACCGTGCTGTGTGCAGTGTGATCTCTCGTGATCTCTCTCAAGAAGTGCTTCGCTTTGCAATCGGGGTGCAATCGGTATCGTCACGCACGATTCCCGGCGAGAATAAACAACACACAGCGTGTATTGCCTGTGCGTATATACGTGGTTTCCCCGTTTTGCCCCTATTGGTCATTGTCATCTCGTTGTACGTCCCACCATCCCGTTGCGCTTCGTTGCTCTCACGCATACGTACGCCGCTGACTCGAGTCGCACCGTGCGACTGTCCACGAGACGAGTGTACACGAGAGAAGCGTCAGAAGCATGGGGGATCAGCAGCAAACGAACCAGCAGCAACAGGAAGCCGTGCCAAGCGTGGTGGAGCTGAACGTGGGCGGTGTATTTTACACCACCGCTCTCACCACCCTCACCCGGGAGAGCGATTCTCATTTGGCCGCTTTGTTTTCCGGGAAAACATCAGTGGAGAAGGATGCCAAGGGCAAGTACTTCCTGGATCGTGACGGGGTTCTCTTTCGTTATGTTCTCGATTTCCTGCGCAATCAGGCACTCGTCTTGCCGGAAGGGTTCCGAGAGAAGGAGAGATTAAAGCAGGAAGCGAATTTTTACGGTCTACCTGGCTTGGAACGTGCCATTTTGGAGAACGGCAAGTCTTCCGGTTCCTTGACCTCCGCCGGAAAGAAAGCATCCGGCCACATAACCGTCGGCTATCGCGGCAGCTTCGCGTTCGGTCGCGAAGGCCTGGCCGATGTAAAGTTTCGCAAGCTGTCGAGGATCCTCGTATGCGGTCGCGTGACTCTTTGCAGGGACGTATTTGGCGAGACATTGAACGAGAGCCGCGACCCGGACCACGGCTCCACCGACCGTTATACCTCTAGATTCTTTTTAAAGCACAGCTCTATCGAGCAAGCTTTCGACATGCTTCAAGAGCAAGGTTTCAAGCTGGCTGGTAGCTGCGGTTCCGGCACGGCTGGCAGCAATTCGGAACAACTGAAGCCCGGAGTGGATTCCGAAGAGAATCGTTGGAATCACTACAACGAGTTTGTCTTTGTCCGCGAGTAAATCAGCATACTTCCTGGTTCTTCCTTGATCTGAATTAGCTGAACGGCTAAACGAGCAGGTTGTTGGGAATAATCGACGCGACGCGATCGACAGAGATCATGTTCCAGCAACGAAGTGGAATTCTTCGATTCTATTTTTTTCTTTTTCCTTTTCTTTCGTCGGCGACGAAGACACAGAGAGGAGTCGGTGTTTCCCGAAGACATTCCTCTCTGAACTGAGATCGCAACTGGTAGAGTAAAGAGTAGATGAACTTTTTTCGTCGTTTGCACGACCATTGTGCATGTACTATTCAGACTCATCGAGCTACATTAGATCGATAACGTCACAACTTCCTTTTTCAAATATTCCTCGCTCTTCGTTCCTTCCACGGAGCGGAAGGACTTTAAAGAAAAAAGAGCCACCACAACAGGTTCAACAATCATTGTTTGGGTGGGACTGCAAATGGCGTGTAGATCATTGTTGAAATTGTCAGGCTCGCCTCTACACGTGTACTTTAACGTGGCGTTGAACGTCGGTCGAAGTACTCCAGGGATGAAACAAAGCCGAGTTTACCTTGCTTAATTCTTGCGGTAATTGGCGGCAGTGCAGAGAGCGAAAAAAACTTGGAAGACGACGGAGGGAGTAACGTTAGATCGTCGGGTTTTTACAAATTTGTTTCGCCAATTTGTTGACTTACTGAAGAAGAGTCTGAAAACATTATTGACCAACGGAGAACAAAGGCACTCGCTATAACGATGGAACACTCGCTGGACGATAAGAGAAATCAATATTTGATCGCAAGATTCGGAGAAAGTTTAAACGAAAGTCCCCTCGTCCTTTCTTTTCCGTTTCTTTCTCAAGATTCGTAAACATATTCACCACGTATCTACAGCCCATTTATACATCGCACTTAACCGTTCATCTCGCTGGATGCTACATTATCCCTGGTCGAATCGAAAAAGTTTCGCCTTGAAAAATACGACTTAAAGTTTGGTATTGATGATCCAGAGATTCGTTGGAAATATTCTCCCCGCTTTTCTACGTCAGCCGAGAAGAAGCCGTCGGAACGTTTCGAAGAACGTAACGAGATGCAACGGACTCGACGTGTTTTCCATCGATCTTCCCATCGATACGCATTGCAAAAAAGGAAATGGCCAAAGGAGATCTTTAACGAGACCACTTTCACGTTTTTACAGCGTGAAACAATCGATAACCCGATATGTTTGATATTGAAATTGTTTTAAAACGAGTAGTCGAAGTAATCGAAGGATCTGAACTCGAAGGATTAACAAGGATGCAACGCCCGACGTTTCTCTATTAAATGATATACGATAACGAAATCATCTCTACTCGATGTGTACGATCATCTCCTCGACGAATTGGAAAGGGAACAGGCAAGGATCAGGATTCGAACAAGATTCAGCTTCAAACAACGCTGGTCGACTGTTCGAGGTTGAACTTGATATTGGACAGTTTGCATGTGTGCACTGGAACGAGTCTCGTGTGTACGTATCGTGTAACGTAAATTGTATGTACGTACAAGCCGACCTAACCGACGTGTTAAACATATGTCGAGCGGCTGGAATAGCGTGTACGTCGAACGTCTCTCTTAAATGATTCTTTGTTAGACTCTCGTTAGAGATTACACGCTATTGATCTTCGTGGTTTCGCGTACATGGAACTGTGCGGTGCAAATAACGTAGGGGAGTACGTTCGCTTTCGACGTTGATCGTGTCGCGTGTAGTATGCATCAGGCCTGTTTCTTATGAATTTCTGACGTTAGGCAGAAATAGTTGTCAAATCTCACTTGATACGGTGGAATCAGTAGTTATTTCCTGACCGTCTAGAGAAAAATTCGATTGGATTCTTTTCGCCCGGGCTGGAAACCATTGAGCGTCCTAAATGATTCGATTAATTCGCAGCACGTACACCTGGGGACGATAAAACTTTCGAATGGAACGAGCCGGCATTCGCGTATTTACCGGCGGGAAAACGACCGAGACGAAACCGCTGTCAGCGACCGTGCGACGGACAAACGAGACTTGGATTTTTCGTGAGTTTTCCCTGCTCCTTCGTGGAAACGAGTGAAAGTAGAAGACGAAATAAGCGACCAAATCAAGCCTGTGTTCTATCAAGGAACGGCCATCTTAGACATGTTTCGCTGATATTTCGGAAAGTATTTGTGTTATATAAACCACGATTCAATCCTGTCATGTTCCTCGTGTCGGAATCGTGTTTTTTGTATCGTTAGAAAATTCCTCGAAAAACGTGAAAGAAACGTCGTCGATACACGCGATTTCACATCTCAAATTTGTACTAAGATTTTTCTTGAAACACTTACCCCTTGAAGGTATTCGTTGGCAACATAAATGTTCTTGAATGTATGAGAAATTCTTTCGCAAATATTCACCAGTAGCCACATACGTTATTTTTTCCACAGAAAAATAAGAATTATCTTTTTTCGATTCTTATTCTTTTCTTTCTTAAAACGTGGGGCATTCTATGCTCTGTCAGCAGTAAACAACTCTCGCAAATAGATTGCTTGTTTCATCAAAGCTCGGCAATTTTTCAAGGTAAACAACCGTGGTCGTATCAAGCTTGAGCAAAATGCTTCCGCCCGAGAAAAAAAAAAAAAAGAAAAAGAAAAAACATTTAAATATATGTATCTAGATTCAACGCGAGTCCGTAGATCTGTCGATCTGTCTCACTGTGTTCCTCCGTTTCCTACTTTTAAAGTGAACGCGGTCGAGTCGAATTGATACGGTTTCCGCGCGATCATTTTCCCCCTGGCGAGCACAATCTTATCGTCGGCTTACGCGAGCGTAGATTCCTTTCTTCCGGCACACTAGTTCTTATTAGATTCCGAATAGAATTATTCACGACGTCGCGTTACGTTTGGCCGCGACCGCAGATACGAGTATCGACGAACGTTCGTGCACGAGCGACTTGCAAAACAGTGTGAAATTTGAATATCGCCAAGTCGAGTCGGCTATCGTCAGCTATCGTTCGAAAAACGATACGAGGAAAATGTACGAATCGACGAGATGTGGCGCGTCTGTTCAATTTGTTGTTAAACGTACAAAAACGCACGCGATACAAGATGCAAACAACATGCACAACAAGACGGAGCCAAAGTGAAATTTAAAGGATAAAACGGATTTTTTCCCTAGTTCCTTCTCTTAGTAGAAATTCTTGAAGAGCTTGCGTAAATATCCACAGTCTGTTTAGACCGAAATGTTCCATTCGTGACACTTAGAAACGTTCGTTCGGATGGACTTTCATTTTCGCGGCGTGTCTGTATACACGTAATACCGAGTCGATCGCTCGATTTCGAATAACATTCTTTTTCCCTCGACTCTCCGCGACTTGGTCTAGTATCCCGTCTTAGATACCGCGAGACACCAGCTACGTGCAACGGAGACGCGAGCCGGTTGGTTTCACAGGCGAGCTTTTCATCCGGAACATTGAAATTCGGCAAGAGACGAGCAGAGCCGACCATTTGTCCTCTGACGATTGTACGGTTCATTGGTAACATGGCGTATCAAAGGATGCAAAAGCCATGGACGATCGAGGCAGGAATTTGCTAGAATTCGACAAGTAACCGTAACGTCGACGACGTAAGGCAATTTTGGCCTCGAGTCGCTTTGCACGAGTGTAAAATGTCAGTTATACACTGTTAAAGGCTGTCGTCAACGTCTACGGGGATCGATGAAATGGTACGCGTGCATCGAACATGCTTTGTTTCAGATGTCGCGGGATTCGTCTTCCTAGGATTCGCCTTTTGTATCTTAATTTCGCTCGACACACGAGAAACGTTCACGCGATGGATACATATATTTGTCTGTGTACGTACCTATGTACGTTTAGGTGCGCCGGAGCAATCGAATGTGGCATTGGATCGAGTGGGGAAATACGTTCAAAATTTGGCATATCATTGTCAAACATCGACTTTCGATTCCGATTTATTGTAGAGAATCAATAGTGGGCTTTTTTTATTGGATACTTTGTACTCTTTCCAAGACCAAACGTCTCTCGGATCGCGGAAAACGTTCCTTTTTGTCAATTATCGACGATAGAGAGCAACGCTCGGTTTCCGATTTTTCTCCAAGAAAGACACGACGCATTTCCCCGAAATTAGGATCACTTTTACCGTGCGAAAAGATCAACTGCCTGTCGTAATATTCCGAATCCTATTAGAAATATTTAGAGGCGATGTTTGAAGCGACGTAGAATCTATTAAAAAAAAAAGGAAAAAAGGTACAAAGTGGAGCTTGAGATAGGTCAATGGTCAGATTCGCTACGCAGAGAATTCCACGAATCCACGCAAATCCAGTTGGCCACATTCCCAATCCTGGTGTACCTGGCGTTTCGTGTCGAGATAGGCTCGAAGGAATCTTCGATTCCTCGAGTATCTCTCTCGTTGGTATCGGTTACTTTGGGTATCTCGCTCGAGGTATCCGTATCTTCCATTCTAGGGATAGAAGTCGTTGCGATCGAGCGCGATCTTGGAAAAATCGGTGAGAAATTCACCGTGAAACATAGGGGAGGGGAGGGGGGAGAGGGGAAGTAATTTATCGATTAGAAACAGCGTACCGCGCGGTTCCGTTCGCCGTGAAAGGAAACGAGTCTCGAACGAACGAACGAACGAACGACTGACTTAACAATCATCACGAGGTGGGCATCGAATCGGTAGCGCGTGTTCGTTCGAGAACGTCTGTCCCCTTTATCCGATGGATATTGATTCAGCGAACGGGGATCGCGACGAGTTGCGTGCATCTTGAACGAACAAACGCGTTAAAACGCGAAAACGCTCGCACGGTCGGGGCACGTGACCAGAATTCTCACTCGAATCCATCGAATTGCATTATATCCGCTTGGATTTCTCCTCGGAGGAATCCACTGATCAAACTTCGTCCTCGCGCGCAGAGTACTTCGAGACGGGAATCTTCAATCACCCGGTGCCGCGTTGCACGATCGCTGTCGATCGTTGAAAGCTTGTAACATGTAGATTTATGGCTTAT